TCCTTAGACCCTCACATCGTACAAGGAAAAACTTCCGGAGAAAACCCACAGTTTAAAGGGAAACATGGGAGAAACCTCAGGGAGAGCAACAGAGGAGGGATCCCTCTCCCAGGACGGACAGACGTGCAATAGATGCCGTGTGTAAATCAAAAAGATAATACATTTGCAACATAGGTAGGTGCCCATCATGGAGATTGGCTTTTAACCAGAAAGTTCTCCTGGGACACAAATCAGTGTAGTGCTGAATGGATGGCTCAATTTATCATTAAGTCAATTGACAGACAATGAATGTTATAAAATGTGGCTGTTTTCTTGAATATTAAGTGTGCTTATTTATTTTATATGTACTAGTATGCATAATATTTGCTTTCCAATGAAATTGATATGTGTAGATAAATTGAGGGATTAAGTGTTCCTTTACAGAAAAACACTCACCTACTTCTTAAGCTTACTCCTCCAATTATATCTAATTTTATTATCTGGAGAAAAACTTTGTCATAAACCTGACAAAATATACTTTTCCTTTAGCTCATGAATAGTTTACTCTTCAGAAATATATGGACATCGGTGTGAGTGCATGGTGTCAATATGTGTTGTATATACATCGATATATGTGTACGTTAATGTATGCATAACTTTATTTAAATATATTTGTATAGCCTCCTATAGGAGGCTATAAAAATATATATACATACAGAGTAAAAGTAATTCAGAGAACTTGATGAATTTAATAACGGATTATTTGTTTATTTAAGCAAAATGCTAGACTGTTACTCTGTTCCTAAGTTTCTCCATTTCATTCAGATACGAAATTGAGTCCTTATTGCTCCAACTCCACTAATGTTTTTTATGCAGGGCAGCACAACGTCAAACCCTGCACTGTCTCCTTTCTTTAGCAACAGCAAATTAATCTAATAATCACCTCGTATAATGCGGTGCGGTCTCTGGGACGATAGGATGTGATTGCTCTCGATCATAATGAGCTCCTGCAAAATAGATTTGTCTCGACAAATTATTTCCCAGGGAAATATCCACTGCCCAGCGTTATTTGTGTCTCCAATCAGACCCAGAGGCCTGACAGCTAATCAGCTGTCATTAATGAGACTGGGGCACTTTTAGGAGCTGACAGGCAAAGAAGAGCCGAATGTTAGAAAATGTGATCCTACTTGAATAATATGTTCTTGAACAGTGTAAAGTGTACTTTAGATGACAAATACAGACCTGTTGAATTGCCGCATTGAAGACAAGCAAATAAAATTAGAGAAAAACAACAGTGAGTCATCAGTGACACGGTGAATAATCCCCTACGCTGCAGCCACCTCAAATAGGCGGATGTCACAGTAAAAAATAAAGGAAAGACGTACAGGTGGGAGCATGAGGGGGCCTCCATCAACACTCATAGTCATCATGACCTCTTCAACCCGGCCACCTACAGTACATGTGCACAACATAAAACACGCCCATCCTCCCACATCAACACAAACGCATACTGTCATCTCAAATGCAAGGATGAAACTTCATCCCTCCACAATGCCCACATCCTGCAACTGCAAATGATTGTTTGTAGAGTATGATTTTTTCGCGGCTGCTGACATTTTATCCATGTCTCTATGAATGGTAGTTGCACTTGGCTGCCATGGTTAGCATTTTGAAGATGGATGTGCACTCTATCCTGATGATAGATGCCCCCGATTCCCTGTGTGTGTGTGTGTGTGTGTGTGTGTGTGTGTGTGTGTGTGTGTGTGTGTGTGTGTGTGTGTGTGTGTGTGTGTGTGTGTGTGTGTGTGTGTGTGTGTGTGTGTGTGTGTGTGTGTGTGTGTGTGTGCGTGCGTGAGTGTGGGTGTGTGAGTATTGGGGACGAGAGGTTTCTGCTGACTTTAACAGCTGTCAGCAAGCACATCTGCCTAACGATATCACCGCTGCTTGTTGATGTGGGATGTACATAGAGGCAACAGAGAGGAAAAGGAGGGCAGAACAGGGGGAAAAAACATATTTATCACTAAGAGTCCAATGTTCCTGTTCTGCTTTACATTTTGAGAGGACACATTTTTTCAAATCCGTCCTGAAGCTATACCCACATGCCCATATGTACATGGGAAGAGTTATTGCTATTACTCCTGTCATTACTGGCCTTGTAAGATCCCTTCTTAGCTCAATTCCAATGAACGTGATATAAATCCACAATCCTTAAGTCCCTGTGGCACCGCTCAAAATGGAAACCATTTCAATGGAAGCTAGATACCACTTTAAATAAGCTTTTTCTATTAAAGCATTCCTTTTGAACATTTTGATAGACAGGGATCACATTGTCTTGATGCTAGTAAATGGAAAGTAAAAGGTATGACAAGTGACATTAGCTGTTGGTCATACCAGAGAAAGCATTAAACCAGTACTAAATTAAGGCAGGGTGATTTGAATTTGAAATTATTATTTTTGTGCACTCAGAAGAATGAAAATCTAGTATGATTACATTAACCAATGACTCTTTAAATGTACTGTAAATAAGGGCATGTGAGTATTGTGTCACGATTTACAAAAAAAAAGTTAACCTTCCCTTAAACGACAGGTTGTCAGTGTAAAAATCTCCTAATTCGTTTTTTTTATGGGGATGTTTCCCTGCTGAACATCAATCCCATATTATCTGTATTCAAAACCACTCCTAATGTTTGGAGTGAGTATTCTTGGACACTAAATTAATGTGGAACATCAGCACGGCTGCAGGCTTGTCTGTCAGTGGGAGTTCACCCCATGTGTTTATATGCGCTGCAAACACACACATATTCCCACATACACAACCTCTTTCTTTCTCACAGACTCAAACACTTTTTTTTAATCGTGCTGGGAAACACTCCACTGACTGAATATACTCAGAGAAACTCCCATGAGGACTATTCAGCTTTCAGAGGATAGCGCTGTTCACCTGCCTTCCTGAATGTCAAAACAAATGCATTTACTTACAGGCTGTTGAAGAACATTTTCTAAAATAGTTTGTTCTCTTAAGAATCACAGACTCAGTGTGATGAATCAAATCTCTTTACTTCGTGTAGCATAGAGAGAAGACCAATGTGCTCTGAATTACCTTTAGAGCGTCTTGCTTTATGTTTCAATAGTTAAACAATGATACCCTCATATAGGGTTGGCATTTGGTACAATGACTTTTTAATGTTACCTCTCAGTTGACTCTTAGCTGCATCTCATCTGATCACCTTACTACTTAGACACAGTGAATCACATAAGCATCAACGACAGTAATACATTTAATATTACATCTGAAATGTCCATTCCCGCAACGCCCTCCGCTGGGAAAAGCTATATTCTTTGTTTTGACTGCACGGATGATAGTCACTCTTTTGTTTAATACACACATCTCTCAGACTTTAGCAGAGAGAGGGAGAGAAAGAGAGAGAAAGTAGTCAATCAGGTTCTGGTTTAACAGGCTCCATGTCTTCACTTAAAGGTCCCAGGTCATGGCCATTTCCACTGATCATAATTCCATTGTTGAGGTCTACTAGAATAGATTTACATTGTTCAATGTTCCAAACTCACATTGGTTTCTCATACAGCATCTCTGTATAGTATGTGTATTCACTCTCTGTCCTAAACGGCTTGTTGGGGCTCCTGCCCCCCCCCCCCCCCTTCCTATGATCCCACTGTGCTCTGATTGGTCAGCTCGCCCACTCTGTTCTGATGAGTCAACCACCGTTACAGCGGAACATGAGTGTTTATGTGTTACAATGGCATTACTGGTGTCCTCCAGAAAATGACACCAGTAATGACAAACAGATGAGAATTCTGCGTGGGGTCTGGGTGCCGTGTTGGCGGGACGTTGCGGGGCTCGCTGCTCCGCCCTTTGAGGCTCGAGGAGCGGACAGTGTGAGCTGGATTACTGGTGTCGTTTCCTGGTTGCTGCGTGGGGTCTGCGAGACAGCAAGACACTGCGGAGCTCAACCTGAGCACACACACACACACACACACACACACACACACACACACACACACACACACACACACACACACACACACAGCCTGAGCTCTGGGTGTGTGTGTATGTGTGTGTGTATGTGTGTGTGTGTGTGTGTGTGTGTGTGTGTGTGTGTGTGTGTGTGTGTGTGTGTGTGTGTGTGTGTGTGTGTGTGTGTGTAAGGAGCTCCACGCAGCACCGCGGCTGAGAAAAGATAAGGCTGAGTGAGTGTGTGCTCTGCAGTGTTACGTCACTATAACCAGGAAAAATGGAAACGAGGCGTTCTGGGGGAGCATGGACAGCATGGACAGGTCTTTTCTGTGTTAGAGTTTTACTCACAACAGAGTTTACTTTGAAGGTTTGTGACTTTTCAGACCGTTTACATGCAGAAAAAGCTACATAACACACAAGGGGACGGGAAATAACCGGAAAAGCATGACATGGGACCTTTAATGACGCATACCATGTACCACAAAGCAGCAAATGAACCGTTACTTCTCCACTTCCCGTGCCTCACAATGGAACTGCATTCATCTACCATCCACAATTGATTCATAAACTGCCCCTGATAGCCTTAGCAAATACACAAGATTTAAAATATCTTTGACATTTTTTTATTAATATCATTTCGGGAATCTGACATCTCGGAATGAAGACCTACATGATTAATCTGAGGACCAGAGAACATTTGGACATCGAGCTCCTTTTTCATCTCTAGCAAAGGTCAGATTCAACAGACCGTTGAATTTGCACTTTTCTGTCAGAAAGAAACTCGAGGGCCAGCTCTGGTCTACAATTCTCTGAATGAGAACACCTTCACATCCGCTTTGCATTTTGGGGCATCTTAACACCTGATACCTATCTGAAAGCAAATTAAGACTTATTCCTATAACTGATTCTACTGATGCCTAACATACTGAAGGTACTGTAGTGTGTGTGTGTGTGTGTGTGTGTGTGTGTGTGTGTGTGTGTGTGTGTGTGTGTGTGTGTGCGTGTCAAGGCAGTGTAAAAGAAAAAATGAGATGAGATAACCTGATGCTTTACCTTTGCATTAAGAGCAGTTCAAGAAAGAGGTTTTATTATTTAAAGATCCAGGATTTATCCCAAACTTTGTCATTACCATCGCTATCTGTACCATCATCGTTGTCATTATCATCATATCATACAAAATGACACAATTATGGATCCATAACAAGGACAATAAAGATATATTTTCAGACACTACATACTTCTGTAAAGAACAATACATATCATGACTTCACTTTGGTGGATTCCTTTATAAAAAATAAAAATAACATTTACGATAAAAGCATGTTTTTAACTGTGTTCTGTCTCGACCTCTCTGTGAGGATGATTGACTCTTTGATAAGACACTGTAAAGCCTTTCCAAACATTTAAACACCTAGAGTGTACAAGCCCATGCACAATGGTCTATTAATTTAATAAGTTATGTACAATAAAGTAAAAAAAGAAAGTATGTACACAAAGTCAGAGTCCATCATACATATCTTCTAGTGTCTCTCCTGCACAGTATCTTTTTAAACGACCTCCTAAAGTCATTGTTGAAGATGGTGTAAATAATGGGGTTCAGAGCACTGTTACAATAGCCAAACCAGAAGAAGAATTTGAACAGGGTGTCGGGGACAGGGCAAGACTCGCACAGTGTCATCAGCATGTAGGTAAAGAAAAAGGGAAACCAGCAGATGACAAACCCTCCGATGACCACGGCCAGAACAAAGGTGAATCGTTTCTCGCGGTTCTGTCGGCCCTTCCAGCGGCTACCCTTAGAGCTCGGCGCCCGCCTTTGGACGCCATCATCCCCCGGTTTGATTTGGCTAATATTGGTTTTCCCCTTGGGCGCTTTCTTTTTGATGGAGCAGGGATTTTTTACATTGTGGTCAGATGAGGACGAATCCTCAAGGTCTACCCCGTTGACCGGGCCCTTCTCCTCATCTGCTCCTTTCTCTCCTCTCACCATCTCTTTCAGCTCTATGTCCTGCTCGCCGTTCAGCTTCTCGTGGCAGAGGCGTTCCTCTGCTCCCACACCGTTGGCCTTCTGGTCGGCTGCAGCGACAGTGGCCGTCTTTGGCATCTCCGTCCGCTTCCTGTCTCCCGGTGGCGCCCGAGTCCTCTTTTTGGCGATTTGATAGATCCTCACGTAGACAAGGACCATGATGACGCAGGGGAGGAAGAAGGAGCCGATGCAGGAGGAGATGACGTACCATTTGTCGTTATTGATCTTACACACAGGGTCCTCCACGCGATTTTCCTTTTCCATGGTGATAAGAGGAGGGAAGGAGATAACCGCCGCGATGACCCACACGATGAAGATGATGCACTTGATTCGCCGCGGCGTCCTCTTCAGGTTGTACTCGATGGCCTGTGTAATGGACCAGTAGCGGTCTAAACTTATGGCGCAGAGGTGGGCAATGGAGGCGGTGCAGAAAAGCACATCAAGAGCCAGATATATCTCACACCACACCTCGCCAAAGTACCAGTATCCCATTAGCTCATTGGCCAAGGAGAAAGGCATTACGAGGGTAGCTACCAAAATGTCCGCCGACGCCAGAGACACCAAGAATAAGTTCTGGGGAGCCCTCAGGGCCCGGCTTGTAAACACAGCAATGACCACCAGCACATTGCCAAACACTGTCAGCATGATCATGATCCCCACCAGCACAGTGAGCGGCAGCGAGATCCGCAGACTGTAAGGGGCGACGGCTGGCAGAGTCTGGTTGGTGTCGTTGTCAAACCCCATTGGAGCAGATGTGCCCACTTCCTGTTTGAATTCACCTGGGTTTAACAAATATCATCACCAGGAAGCACGGAGCTAGTAGCTCTCAGCAGGGCTGAAAAAGGAAGGGATTGAATCACTCCTCTGAGGCTTCCCAGATTTCTTTCTTTCATCATGTGCACGCTCCTCAGGGAGGAACCTCTTAGTGTTCATAAGGCTGTCAGTTCATCTGTAAATGTGACAGAGCAATTAGATTAACTTTTCAATCAATTATGACATGTGTTTATAATTATTACTATAATAACTAACTTAAGCATTATGTCATATTCCTGATTAATAGAGAGGACAAAAAAGACACATAAAGTGCGAAGTGATCTTACCTGAGGCAGAAAGCGGTGGCACAAGCTGTCCAGCGCCAGAGACGCACGGACATTAAAAAAGCTGTCAGCGGGTAACTTCTTTAAGCAGATCAACAGGAAGCAAAGAGGATCCATGTGGCGGATGAAGCGAGAAGTATTCTTCCCTCCGCGGCGCCTCTCCCTCCCGACACAATGATCTGGGCTCAGTGGCGTACCTAATGGAGAGCTAATCATGTTATCCGGGCTGCTGTCTGTGTGTGGGGAGTCTCTCTCCTCAGTCTGTGTGAGTCTCTCATCGGTGTGTGTGTGTGTGTGTGGAGTCTCTCTCCTCAGTGTGTGTGCGTCTCTCTCCTCTGTGTGAGCCGGAGCGACACTCCCTCTCTTTATAGCTCGCACGCTGCAAAAAGTGTCTCGCTGCGGGGGTCACTGCGCGTTCACTGAGTGACAACAGACATGTGTGCGTCATAACAATAATCCCGTAAATGTTCAGTAGGTCAGGATAGGTAAAAAAAAAACTGCATTAAATAGATGAGCACTTATAATAATAAATGCCACATAATCTGGATGATACAAATAAATTGCCTTTAATCATTATGTCGCCATTGTTCAGTTAAGTGGAATTTTTCTGAAGTCGTTTTTGTCGTAATCGTTTGCATGAAAGTCTTTCTGTTATTGTCTTTCTATTCTTCTGCCATTGTTTGCCATAGACTTTTATTCATATAGATTAAATAATAAAAGGAGGTCTTATCGTGGTCATGGCAAGTTTTCTGAACACAGAGGCACATCAACATGCTTATCTTATCTTTAGAGGATGACAACAAGTTACATTAAAAGACACAGGCAAAACATATTGAAAAATCAGTAGGAGTTAAGTTATGTATAAAAGGGCTTTAGAGAAATGAATAATTTATAAGTAAGGAGAACTGCAATGTTTTTATTTAGATTTGACAGAGGGAACATTTGTGCTGTATTTAAGATGATGGAGAAGTTTTATCAAAAAAACAAGTTGGTTGGTTTCATCTCTCTACATCCTTGTCTTTAATTTAGTTTTCCAAAAATGGTGGTAGAAAACTACTTACACTATCTTTCAAACAGTTTCTGACTCTGAACTGAAACAGTAAACACACGTTGAGAGCAGTGCTTGAATTGGAATGAAAAAGGTGCCAGTACTCTAAAATCAGCAACTTTTTCAAGTCAATTTTATATATACAGCCCACAAACAAGAATTTGGCTACTATAATGCTGGTGGGTTTGTCTCTTTACTACTGTATATTTTAGAAAGGTTCACTGTACTTAACATTTTTTATGATAGGCAGCGGATATGGCTAAAGCTCAGTAAGGTCAATATTAACTGAAAATATAGCAATCAAAGTCTAGATCTTCTGCTGAAGACACATGAAGCAGAGACCTTTCAGGTGAGAGCCCCTCTGGTGGTGTTCAACATTAATGACAAGGAAACAAAGCTCTGGTCAGAAGCATTTTTTATAAAAAGCTTTAACAAAATTAAGTATTTCTGTACATTTTGAATGCAATCTAACTTTCCAACTCAGAAAACGAAAAACGAAAAAGTGCCAAAAGTCTTCTCACATGGCTGAGCTGCTTTGCAATATACTTCACCACTGAAGAATACAAATATGTATAAAGTAAACTATGATGCAATCTAACTTTCCAACTCAGAAAAATGATAAAGAGCATGAACAAAGAACATGTAAAAACAAATGCAAAATTTGCACAATCTAAAATGAGAAACTGTAACTGCAAGTAACAAAGTCTGAGCCATGGTAAAGAGTTACATTGAACACCAAGCTGATCAGATAACTCCCTGGTTGGTCTGAAGTCCTTCTATCTCCAGGATCTGTACAAATCGGCACATTATGCCAAAAGTCTTCTCACTGGGTGAGCTGCTTTGCAATATACTTCACATTGTTAGAAAAGGCTCCAGAAGGCCTTGGGGACATCAGTATCAGGGGCTGGAGCTGGACAGGCTCTTTCATCAGCACTTCTCCTTCCCTTTGCCAGCCAGGACCTCACATACTGTTCCGGATTGAACTGTCCTAGTGATGGTCCATTACATTTAATGAAAACCAGGCTGGACAGTCGGCTGACAGAGAGAGCATTCCTTTTTGCAGTAAGGATATCGTTCATGCAGCTGAATGCCCGCTCACACTCACTAGTGGAGACAGCGATGGTTCGGACTGCTTTCAGTAGAGGCTCCATGGCAGCAGGTGTACGGGATGCCCTGGTTTCCTTGTATTCGCGAAAGCCCTGAACAGTCTCTCTTCTGTCCACTTTCAGCACTTCGCACAAACGTAGCACCTCTACGTCCCCATACTGTACGTCTAACTCCTCTTCAGGCCAACTTCCAGGATGGATAACTTTCATGTCCTGGATTAGCTGATTGTCCCGGGCCTCCCGGCCATGTAATGGGATTTCTCTTGTGCTGACATGAGAGGAGGTTGTGGAAGTCATTCTGTGTCTCAGATTCTCTACCATACTGCGGAAAAACTGACCTGCATGAATCTGTACAAGCCTGCCATTCTCACGCAGGGCAACACCCTTGAAGGACTTCTCAGCTAGAGCTGTATGAACTGTAGTCATGTGTGGGCCAGGCATGGTGACCATGGATTCAAAAACTCGTATTTCTCGAGTTAAGAGCCTATCTGCTGTAGGCAGTGTCATCTCTCTTTTTTGGAGTTGCCGAGAGAGGTCGCTGAGCTCTGTGAGCGCATCGTACATCAGTCCCAGATTGCTGACAAACGTTGCAGATGTGAGCACATCATCCAGGCCCTTGTACTTTGCTCTGTCTCTGGAATCCCTGCTCGTGTCGTTTGCAGCATTTGTGAAGTGATCATGAAGCACTCGGTAGTTTTCCCAGACTGCTCTGACGCTCCTTTCACTTGAAGCCACCCAGCGGATGGACAAAACACGCCCTATCACCAGGAGACGCTGTCCGACTGCTTGCGCACACTGCGCTAACTGCCTCTGATTTTTGGGGGAGGCATGGAACAAGGAATAGAGTTTGTCAAAAAAGATCTGGAAATGATTGAGCCCTGAGACCTCCTTGACCACATCCCCAACTGCCAGCTCTAGACGATGATTGGAGCAGTGCCACACAAACAGGCTTGGGCATTTACTACACAACTGGGTAGCAACGCCTGTTCTCTTCCCTAGCATGACTGAAGCCCCATCACATGCAAAAGAAACGAAACACTGACCTAAAAAGTCCTCGTTAAAATCTCTTCCAAGACACTCCATTAACGCCTTTGTGATGTCATCAGCCGTTGTTCCATCCAACTCGATCAGCTCCCAAAAAAACGTTTCGGGCTCAGCATCAGCTAATGCTGAGCGTAGACACACAACAAGCACCGTTTTACCACTAATAGTGGTAGATTCATCGACCAAAACACAGAGTTTTCTTTGGTTTTCTGTAATGTCTTTTGCCATTTTTTTCTTCAGCTCATGAGCTATGTGGTCGATGATTTCGCCACAGGTTTTATTGGAGTGCAAAACCCTGCCCACGTTCAGCCCATTCAGTTTCTGTACATTCAAATCAATTGGCATGTCTGTGAATGGCCGGCTATGTTTGCCAATTTTATATGCCGTTTGAAAAACTCTGATAGTGGTGTCTAATTCAGATTTATGCATAGACTGCACTTGATGTTGAATAGTTTCACGTGAAGCAGATGTAAGGATGTCAGCAGCTTTTACATGGGCTTGTGATTCTTTATGTTCTTTGATTTTTTTTCTCAGGCTAGCTTGTTGTTTGCCCTTGTCAACACCGAAATGAGACACTGCACACTCACCCCATTCAGTTGACAGTTTCAGTCCTTGTCCAGTGTGTATTCCCAAAGATTTGACATCTCTGCATATCCGACATCCTAGCTTCTTATCTTTAAGAAGGAGCCATGCATTGGTCTTGCAAAAATATTGCACCTGGTCCGTTGTCCAGCAGTCAGGTGCATCGCTTTGCCCGGTGTTGGTGGTGGCAGTTGCGCCAGCAGCAGCTAACGTTAGAGGCTCTGGAGGAGGCGGCGGAGCTAGTGCTAATGCTAATGCACTAGAACTTGGAGCAGGAGGATCAACCAAAGAAAGCTCCCCATCAGACACAATTTTCAACACAGGCACAGCATTCTCTGTATTTGAAGTTTCTTCCGGCGACAACCGCTGTCTTTTTGCACTTTTATTAATCCACGCTAACATTTTAGAAATGCTAATTTGTGACGTGACTTGCTTTCCTTCTCTCGGGGGCGTGCCTGCTCTGTTCTATCACTCTACATAGCCACCCACTGGGTGGGAGTTGCACTGCATAAACACAACACACGTGCATCTAGGTATGTAAATTGTAAAGCATTAAAACATGGTTTTACTAACAGTTTTCAGTATGTTGTTACTTCGGCATTATTATTATTATTATTTTGAAACGTGTATTACTATTAAATCACGGTCAAATAGGTTAATTTTGACATAGTCGTTTCCACCACAGTATTTACATGGAGAAGATAAGCCCCGCCCCCTCTCCAGCACGTTCTGTTTGAATGACAGGAGTAAACAGCTGACAGCCGCTGTGAAACTCCAGCGGTTAGAGCGATGAGAATGTCCGTTCGGCACCTCATGACGCATCTACTGAGTACCGGGCGGCTGTATATATATATATGGATGTATAATAAGAACGGCGGGAGAGTGTTGAGAACTGGCACGGTGCATGAGTACCGGAGTACCGCCAGCATGCCGGTACTGAGCAAGAAGTGCCGGTACTCCATGGGTCAGAACCAGAAGTGCCGGTACGGCGTACCGGTGAGTACCGGCCCAATTCCAGCACTGGTTGAGAGACGTATAGAGAACATATTGTTTTTGTAGAGTAAAGAGAAGCCCCTACAGTGATGGACATTTCTTGCAGTGCAGCTGTAGACTCCGTTGCTAAGCAGCAGCCAGAGCCACACCACGTGGATGTCAACAGCGATGTATGACTTTGTCCAAACCTATGGTCCAAACCAGTGTTTCTCAAACTTTTTCATACCAAGGACCACTTAACCAATACAAAAATACTCGCGGACCACCTAACTCCACAAATATCCAAAAACACATCGTTTTTTACAAATCGCCTGAAAATGGTACAAACAAGTGGCCACATGTGTGATGAAGGTGTTGTGCTGGGCTATATCATGCAATCGAAAGTGAAACTTAAGCTTGCTCCATTGCGGAGATATTCCCGCGAGAGTGCGGAAAACTTAAATGTATTTATTTATTTCAAATGTTACCAATATAGGCTACTCACGGACCACTAGGGGGCGCTCACGGACCACCAGTGGTTCGCGGACCACACTTTGAGAAGCACTGGT